TGCGGGTTCCGCTGGATAAAGACAAAACCTAATTATATAAACTTTTAATTATCAAAATCGATAATTAAAATCTTGTTCAAAATATATTAAATTCAAGTTAATCAATAAGTCTATTATCGATTACTGTTTAGAGATGGCAATTGGGCTCTCCATCATGTCCCGTCCCGGATCGCTGCGGGTTCGTCTTCTAGCGGGACACGGCAGGCATGTCCCGCGCGGGATGCGGTCTTGAAAACAGCTGTCCAATCCCATACCATATTTCTTGTAGGCCTTCGCGGGCCGTCCCGCTGGATATGTGATAATACGCGCAGTAGAACGATTCAGTCCACTCCAAAACGCTTCAGGTCATTCTAGGATATAGTTCAAGTTGTGGATTCAACTGAACATAATTAATCAATCATTGCTTTGCTTATTTTTTATTCAAAAAAATAATTGTAATTATCTGTATCACACCCAAAACATATTAACATACAAAGTAAAAATAATTGCAGAAGATATTATTCATTATGTTATAACTCATAAGTTAAAAACCAATGTTTTAGTTTGTTGAATCCAAAAATTAAATAAAATGAAACACCAAATCAAAAATGTCAATCCCAAATTAAATAAAAAGAGAAACCAAATTAAAACACTACTAAATCTCGAATCGTCATCGTCGGAGTTGTAGTCGTCATCAACGGAGCTCGAATCATTATCACCGAAGCTCGAATCATCATCATCGCCCAAGCTCCTTACGTTTTCTCAGGGGAAGTCACATGAATCGCCTTCTTCTCACTCATTCTTTCATTTTTTCAGGTAAAACAAAAAATAAAGAAAAAAAAATGCGGGTCATTGTAATTCCGCAGCACCCATTTCGGTCCATCCCGCAAAAGACCCAATCCCGCAAAGATCCATCCCGTGAGTCCCGCAAATTTGTGGGACTAAAAAACCTCGTCCCAATACCATCCCGCGACAGTTCTTTACGGGCTAGGCTCGCGGTCCAGATCCATGATTGCCATCTCTATTACTGTTGGTTTTCAAAACTAGCTGATCATAATTGCTTCTTTTTAAAAGAAAAAAAACAATAATCAGATCGTAAACAAGAAGGCTTCTCTATATCCTCTTACATATACTTGGTTCTGTAAGTAAGCACCAAGAGAATCTGCAACATGTATGCTAAATATCGCTGCCATTATGGATCCGTCAGCCGTGGCACCATCGTACATAGTGGCCAAATCAACATACTCATGAATAAGACCGAGCAAAATATCTATAAAGTTTGATTCAATTTTTTATTCATTTCGATTCTATCCAGAAAATCTGAATATCTATAACCTTACTAATCAAACAAATACTAAAATTTAATATCTTTCAAATGCGAAGTAAATTACAAATATCTATATATTTTAAACGGATATCCAATTCGATCTGCTACACATATATATATCTGCATAAGTTTTTAGTATTTTTATTCATTAAATTAATTATTTGGTTATTAAAATTTTAAGAGTATGTAGTTCTTTTGTATTAATTTTTTGTTTTCTTTTAATAGATTTAAAAAAAAATTATTTTTATTTTTATCGGATCAAATCAGATATCCGGTAAAAAATACTAATTTATCCAGTCCAGAAGATTACAGATCAAAAAGATCTATTATTCGGTCGGAGCTGATCATAAATATCCTTTTAATTTTGGATATCCGTTCCATGCCCATCTACTCATAAATGCATGTATCACGTGGTAAACAAACTTAGTTTTTTTATTAAAACATCCAGATCCGGTCCTCGGTACAAACACATAAAGCATGTAGTTAGTGCGGCACTAACCAATTAGGATAAATATAGCGACAAAAGGAATAATTTACAAGCAAACGTCAATGTCTATAGTTGCCTGTAATATAAAAAGCTGCCTTTGTCCGAATAATGACCATCTCTCATCTCCCACAGATCAGAAGCACAAGTCCTCCACTCTTCTCTATCTCCAATGGCAACAGAATTCGTAACAGACACTACCGTGCCAAACTATGACCAGGCCGAGACAGAGTCAACAGAGTTCGAGAAGAACCGGAAACGGTACCAAGACCTGATCTCCACGTTGCCTCACGTGAAAGGCTGGAGGCCGAAATCTCCCCTAATTTCTTACGCTGGTCATTGGTGGATACAGCCTTTCCTTGAAGGTTCCCTTTACGCGCAAGAATTCTTCCAAGCGCGACCCAATTACTTCCTCGTTTGTAGCTACCCAAAGACAGGTTCTACTTGGCTCAAATCACTAACATTCACAATAGCCAATCGATCTCGCTTCGACGATTCCACAAACCCTCTCCTCAAACGTAACCCTCACGAGCTTATTCCTTTCATTGAGATCCAGTTCCCTCGTTTCCCTAACATTGATTGTCTCCAAGACAAAGGGAACCATCTTTTTTCAACCCATATGCCACACGATTTCTTACCTCATTCGGTTGTGAAGTCAGGTTGTAAGATGGTTTACATCTGGAGAGACCCAACGGACACTTTCATCTCCTTTTGGAGTTTCATCAAAAAGCAAAGGTCAGACCGTGGCCCGCTCAATAGTCTTGAGGACTGTTTTGATATGTTCTGCCAAGGTATATCGGGGGAAGGTCCTTATCTTGATCATGTCTTAGGTTATTGGAAAGTTCACCAAGAGAATCCAGATAAGATTTTGTTCCTTAAGTACGAGACTGTGAGTGCTGATCCTTTGCCTTATGTGAAGAGATTGGCTGAGTTCATGGGTTATGGATTCACAGCTGAGGAAGAGAAGAATGAGTTGTTGAGAAAGTTGTGAATCTTTGCAGCTTCGAGACGTTGAAGAATCTTGAAGCTAACAAAGGAGATAACGAGAGACAAGACCATCCTTCTCCTTATACTAACGACATGTATTTCAGGAAAGGAAAGACCGGAGATTGGGAAAATTATCTGACTCCAGAGATGGCAGCTCGTATGGATGGAATCATGGAAGAGAAATTCAAGGGTACTGGTTTGCTTGAATATGGCAAATGATAGTTCTTGTTCGGGGGAAATGACTGATCCTTGTATCTATACTATTAAAAGAGAAGGAGTCTAAATAAATCTACTTAAAAAAGTTGTTTGGACCCTTTCATTATACTAACATTTTTTTTTTATCTTTCCTTATATTTCTCTAACAATATTGTACAATAACATTATATCATATAACTTACCTTATATTTCTCTAACAATAAATTAGTCAATATTCTTATTTATTATATATTACTCTTATCGGTCAATATTTTTATTTCTCCACAATACATTATTATAACCTTATACCATATAATTTCATAATACGTGACTGANAGATATGTAGCGGGTAGGCTTGGATAGTTAGGACTCAAAATACCAATAAACCCGAAAAATATTTGAAAAATACTTCAAACCATAAATAAATACTCAAAATATATTCAAATATCTGAAAACCTTGAATTTTACCTAATTTGACTCGAAAAACAAAATATACCCAAAAATTTGATTTGAATATCCAAAACAAAAAAAAAAATATATATATATATATTAGAACCCGAAACCTAAAACTGTAACTAAAACTTAAAAGAATATACATAATACCAAAAACATATATGAAATATCCAAACATATAAAAAAATATTGAGTGCTTTTATGTACCCGATCGGGTCTCGGTTATGATCCATACTAGAATCGATTCATGCGGGTCTTTAAAGATAGCCAGTAAGTACTTTATCATGGATCCTAGCCGAACCTATATTTTCGGGTCGGTTTGGTCGTGTTTTTCGATCCGGATAAAATGTCAAGACCTAGAGAGAGTTACATTAAAAACTTACATATAAAATCTCAAATAAATTAATTTATAAATTACATAATTTTTCAAAAAAAATGTATTTTATATATTAAGATTTGTAGCCTAATAATGTACATCATTTCTAAAATACTATATCATATCAAAATTTGTTTATAATCTAACAAAAACCCGCGCTTTTGAAGCGCGGGTCAAAATCTAGTGCTTTTTTAAAGCATATGCTGGTTCCTCTTGTCACGCTTATTCTGTTTGATGAATAAAATTGGTTTCTGTTTCATGTATCGGAAAAAAGGAATTGGCTTTGCAAGGGGAAAACGGCCACATCGTGCATAAAGTATTGTCATGTGTTTAATTTATAGATTAAACTAGATTTTGATCCGCGCTAGAAAGCGCTGAAATTTTTTTGATTAAAAGTTTATATAATTAGGTTTTGTCTTTATTTAAAGTCTGTTTTGCTATAAAATCAGTAATCCAAAATTTATGCTGATGATTGTTTTGCATTAGTTTTTAGTTTCAGTTTTTATTTTCAGATTTGGTTTTTGGTTTTTGGTTTTTAGTTTTCAAGTTTCTAGTTTTGATTTTTCAGCTTTTGGTTTAGGTTTTTAGTTTTTAGATCCGCTGAGTTAGTTTGAACTCATAATTACCAACAAACAAATCCCAAAGAATCGAACATCTAATTTAAAACTGAAAAGATGACAACTTTTATTTTTAATAATTGCAATATTTTATTTTGTAAATAAAGAAAACAAAAGCAAAAATATAACATGCGTTTTCAGCTTTTGGTTTTGGATTTTAATTTTTAGATTTGGTTTTTAGTTTTGCTTTACATTTTTTTTTAAATCAGTAAACTATTTAAGAAAAAAAACTATTATAAAAGTTACCATTGAAATTTATCAAGACAGAGTGATTGTTATGTAAAATAAAAAAAATATTAACATGTTTTAAAGAACATGATTTAAATAAGTGATAAATAATATATAATTTTGTTTTGTTAAAATATTAAATACTTTTGGGCCTTGAAATAATAATTGAGTTTTTGATTCATCAAGGTAGAACATTTATTCAATGTTTTTTTGAGTTTTTCTTTAATATTAAGCCCAAAACCCAAACTATATAATTTGTCATAAAAACAAAAGTAAGCCCAAAACTCTATTCCATAAATAACTGCCGGTTTAATTTAAGTAATGCGGTTCATTTAACTCATATGACTTGTATTATTTGTAACACTCTAGAAAGGGTCCAAATTTAAATGACAACTTATATCAGTAGATAAAAAGAATGACTCTATTTTAATAGAGTAGATATACTATCGTTCAAATAAATATTTAAAATTTGAAGATGTTTAAATCATATATACAAATGACTTTAAAGCATGAAAACTTCAAAAACTAACCTTTTAAGATTAAATAATAAGAAAACAATCAAATTAAAATGAATATGTAGTTTTATTTAACATACAAATATGCACATCTAAAATTATAGATTTATCTTCTTATAAGAGGAGATGAAAAATATAGAATGAAATTTATTGAGAAAACAGAATAAATTAAGTTGCCAGAAACATATGAAACAAATAGATGAAAAAATGATATGAAATTTGGTGTTTTCAAGTTCAAAGAGGCTAGTAAGAAGTTGCTAATTTTAAAAAAAAAAAGAAGAAAAAATACACTTTTGCTGTAACCATTTGAAAATATGTAAATGTTGTTTATATATAAAACAAAAAACAAAAATTACACTTCTAAATAAGTCTACTCAAGTATTTTGAACTTATGGCAAGTGACTATTAGTTTACGTACCCAAATAATATATCTATATATATTTGTCATTCCAAAATATGATTTTAATTATTATTTACATATATAAGAACAAAATTTTAACGTCCATCCACATATATAAGAAAAAATTAAATCTTCACCTTATGTGATAAAACTAAAAGTAAAAACTTTTCAATAAATTATTTTGAACGTATTGGAAATTAAATTTAGAAGTGCAGATCATAATCTTCTTTGAAAATTTATAATATAAAATTCATTAATATATAATTCTAGTCAATTTTCAAAACTGGCTGATCCTAATTTCTTTTTTTAAACAATACTGATCAGAACAACCCAGTGTTTTCATGTCTGATCTGGATCCGCGGTCGGACCGCCAAATCCGGTGAGTCGGTGACCCAATAAGTATTTTGGTTTATGTTTTAAAAAATATCCACTAATTAAAAACCCGATAAAACCTGCTAAAACTTTTAAATCTGGTGACCCGCCTATCGGTTAAACCATCGAGTGAACCAATGAATAATTTTTATTTAGTTTTCTCTTCAATTTGTAACTACTTCAGTAAATATTCTATGTATTCCAAAATAGAAATTTGGTTTTTACTTTTAGTTTTTAGTATTCTTATAAATTATCTTTTTTTCTTGCTATCACATATACTTGATATGTCCTTCAATTTTATTTTAAATCTTTTACTATTTCATTTATAATGAATAGCATTCATTTAAAACATTTTTAACTTCTATCATATAAATTTTTTTTTCTTTACGTGAATCACATGCTTTTATCTTTTTTTTCTTGATTGTAAATGTTTCCAAATAAATATTTTTTTTGTGAATAAATTCATTGATCTTATTCAATTTTATAAAAGCATATATAATATCGACTAAACTATTTATTGTGATATTTAGATTTTGATGAATATTTTATTATGCCTCCTAAAAAATATAGTGAACAATGATAGATATCTAAAACTTATGAGATTTAAGTTTTGTTATACTCAACTCCTAATTTCTTACAACAAAGTTTTTAAATAATTTAAAATATTTTATAAGTGAAATTAAAATAAAAATAAAAAACATATTAAGAAAATCCATATTTTAAAGAAATGTAAAATTATCTTATATTTAAAAATAGGTAATATATAACTATATATTAAATTTAGTTAATATATTGACTCGCAGTTCGTCCACGGTCGACCCGGTGAATCAAAAAGTTATCCGGTTCAGAGTCTGGATCGGGTTTAAATACATTGGAACAACCTAAAACCCTCAACTATACAATGTGTTTACAACCTAGTAAAAGCGACCAAGAAACAACCTCAAGTAAGAAAAATGCCCTTTTTCAAAAAAAAAAAAAAACTCAAGTAAGCATCTAAAGAATCGACATACTCATAAAGGTTTCACGTGGCTAATCAAAATGCTTCATTACTAAACGTAATCAGATAAAGATCCGATCCTCGGTTCAAGCACATGAAGCATGTGGTTAGTGACTAATGGCCACTCTATTTTATACTATTTTAAGTGAATGTGAATGAATTGGCCCTATCACGTGTCGTCAAAGTTTTAACAAAAAGCCTCGAGTTTCTATAAATATATACTGTTATGTATGCCTTCTGTTTCATAAAAAAAATATCACTTTGATATTTTATACATATTAAGAAAATAATTGAAATGCATTTAAATCTTTATAAATTACACCTATTCAACCAATAGTATTAGAGACAAAATTATTTATAAAATCAATACATTTATAATTAATATTGAGAAGAAAAACAATGTTAAAATGACATTTAATATAAAACTGTTGGAATAAAATATAAGAAAAGAGTCTAATATTATTCTATGAATATATTTATGTGTTTATAATAAATCTAATATTAAGAAAATGTTACTTATAATATTAAAAACAAGTTTTACCAAAACTTTTTAAAATATAAATATAAATTTTGTATTTTATTATCTATTCTAGAGCTTACAAAATTATCGAGCCAAATTTCAAACCTTTCCCTCGTTAAAAATAAGATGATACAAATTAATGAATTATAGACAATGGTGTAAAACCAGAACCAAAGAGAAAAACAGACCATCGTGAAGAGATCAAAGAAAATGCATCACTGATCACCTTGAGTATCTTTGAATTTATCTTCCACAATCCACAGTTCCACTAACCCATGGATACGAGAAGCCATTTTCAAGAACCCGAAGTCCAGTCAAACTAGTGAGGCATAAGGGAAATGAGCCTACTAGTTTGTTTCGACTGAGATCAAAGTTTTGCGTATTCTTCATTTCGAAAATCTCTACAATAGTCAAAAGCAACAAAAATATAGACATGAGAAAACAATAATTCACCACCAGTTCCATTCATATTTCTATTAAGCCTGAAAACTCATTATTATTACTTAGATCCAGAGCTTTCAGTTTCCTCAAAACATAATGAGATACTAACCAAAGAAAAATGTTATATGGACTGTTGTTTTCAGCCACCTCGTATTGGTATGGAGCGTGTTGACCCATTTTCCAGCTCTAGTCGTACTTTGGCCAAATCGACATTTCACGTGGCCATGCATAACTAAACGTCATCAGATTCAGATCTTGTCCTCGGTACAAGCACATGAATCATGTGGTTTTAGTGGCCTGTCTATTTTACAAAAGAAATATATATAGTGTAGTTGTGATTAATACAATGACAAAAGGAACAATTTAAAAAACAAACGTCAATAATGTCTCTTTTTTTATTTGGTCAAAAACGTCAATATCTATCGTTACTTCAAATATAAAAATCCCGCTCTGCTCCGATCTTGTCCGAACAACAACCATCTCCCATCTCACACAGGTCTGCTCCACTCTTCTTCCTCTATCATTTCCAATGGCAACAGAAACCGTATCCGAGACAGAGTCAACACAGTTCGAGAAGAATCGAAAACGGTACCAAGACGTGATCTCCACGCTATCTCACGTGAAAGGGTGGAGGCCGAAAGATCCCCTGATTGGGTACGGGGGTTATTGGTGGATACGGCCTCTCCTTGAAGGTTCCCTTTACGCGCGAGAGTTCTTCAAAGCGCGACCCAGTGACATCCTCATCTGTAGCTACCCAAAGACAGGTTCTACTTGGCTCAAATCACTAGCATTTGCAATCGCCAATCGATCACGCTTGGAGGATTCCACAAACCCTCTCTTAAAACATAACCCTCATGAGCTTATTCCTTTCATTGAGATCGAGTTCCCTTATTACCCTCATATTGATTTACTCAAAGACGAAGGGAACACTCTGTTTTCAACTCATATGCCACATGAGTTATTACCCGACTCGGTTGTGAAATCGGGTTGTAAGATGGTTTATATCTGGAGAGACCCAAAGGACACTTTCATCTCCTTTTGGAGTTTCATCCAAAAGCACAGGTCAGAGCATGGCCCGCTCAATGGTCTTGAGGAGTGTTTTGATATGTTTTGTAAAGGTTTTTCTCCAAACGGTCCTTATCTTGATCATGTCTTGGCATATTGGAAAGCTCACCAAGCGAATCCAAATCAGATTTTGTTCCTTAACTATGAGACTTTGAGTGCTGATCCTTTGCCTTATGTGAAGATATTGGCTGAGTTCATGGGTTATGGGTTTACAGCTGAGGAAGAGAAGAATGAGGTTGTTGAGAAAGTTGTGAATCTTTGCAACTTCGAGACGTTGAAAAATCTTGAAGCTAACAAAGGAGATAAAGTGAGAGAAGATCATCTTTCTGTTTTTGCAAACAGCGCGTATTTCAGGAAAGGAAAGACCGGAGATTGGGAAAATTATCTGACTCCAGAGATGGCAGCTCGTATGGATGTAATAATGGAAGAGAAGTTCAAGGGTACTGGGTTGCTTGAAAATGGTGAATGAGGTAGTCCTTGTTCGGGGGAAGCGACTGATCCTCGTATGCTTGTTTAAAGCATAAATTTAAGAATCACTTTAATTATATATGTACTACTTTACATGTTGGATAAATAAAACTTGTTTCTGTTTCATGTCAATGTATTGTGTAAGAAAAATAAAGGAATTGGCTTTGGGGAAAATAATTTTGTCGAATCAGTTTTTAAACAATAAAAAAATATGGGCTTTTTGCATAATTGACCTGAAACTTGAAGTCAACCACAAAACTAACCTCATTTTTTTTGGAACTTTATTTTGTCCAATTCACCCCACAAGTTCATATAATTCACGAAAATGCCATCAATTTGTTTTTGTTTTTTTCTTTTCGAAAATGACATATTTACTCTCTCACCCTCATCATCTTCAAGTAATTACAAGATTGCCATTGTCATCAATACTCCAACAACCATGAACAACCAATTTTGAAGCTCTTAATGCCTCCAAATTCCATTTACCCTTCTTCTTTTTCTATTCTCATGAACTAAACAATACATTACAACACATATCTCTCACTTTCTCTCCACAATGAGCTAAAAAAAAAAAAAAACAAGATTTTGATTCTACATTTTTTAGGGTTCATATAGTCAAAGAAATTAAAGATTCAGGGTGGATTACCTTCGTTTGAGATCCTGAGTGCTTGATTCTACATTTTTAGGGTTCATATAGTCAAAGAAAGTGGTCTCACCAATTTAAGGTATGAGATCGAGTTTTTTTTTCAGATCTGTTCGTCCAGACGACTGAAATTTCAGTCGTCTGGACGACTGAAACTTCAGTTGTCTGCATTCGTCTGGTCAACGCAAAGGTTATTTTTGCAATTGACTTTGCAATTTGTTTCCAGAGACGACTGAAAGTTCAGTCGTCTGTATTAGTTTGATAAAAAAAAATATCCTCAGAATCTGGACGACTGAAATTTCAGTCGTCGTAGGTTAGTTTTGCATTTGACAAGAAAACTTCAGAATTTTGATTTTTTCGGACGACTGAAATTTCAGTCGTCTGCGAAAAAATTGAAATATCAATATTTTATTAGAACTCATGACTTACATTTCGGTAGTAATAGGTTAGTTTTGCAATTGTGAAAAAAAACTTCAACTCTCAAGACGACTTATAATTTAGTCTTCCGGAAGACGACTTAAAATTCAGTTGTCCAGGATTTTATTCCGAGATTCTGGTCAAACCTTGTAAATCTTAGACGACTGAAAGTTCAGTCGTCCAGCAGACGACTGAAATTTCAGTCGTCTGGATATGATTAAATATTGAAGTTTTTTTCGCAATTGCAAAACTAACCTACGGCGACTGAAATGTAAGTCGTCGAATTTCAATAAAATATTAATATTTCATTTTTCTTCAGACGACTGAAATGTAAGTCGTCCTGAAAAGTCAAACTTCTGAAATTTTCTAGTCAAATACAAAACTAACCTACGACGACTGAAATTTCAGTCGTCTGTGTTTTTTGGAGATTTATTTTATCAAAGCTAATCCAGACGACTGATATTTCAGTCATCCCAATTAACAGATTTCAAAGTCAATTGCAAAACTAACCTCTGCGTTGACCAGACGACTGAATGTTTAGTCGTCTGGATGACTTAGATTTCAGTCGTCTGCTTCTATTTTTAATAAAATTTTGTTTTCTTGGTTTTATGTTTGCTAATGTGTTTTATTTTTACTATTTCAGATGCCGCATCAGTTACGTGCTGTGTATGGAGAATGGTTGTTGAAATTTTGTGGTTGATCGTTTCAAATGAGCGAGGATGTTATTTTGAGTGAAGGTTTGACACATGCTGATCTTGTTTCAAAGGAGCGAGGATGTTATTTTTGAGTGAAGATTCGTCACATGATGATCTTGTTTCAAAGGAGAGAGGATGTTATTTATGTATTATGTACTTCTCTTTAGACGACCTTCATTTCATTCGTCCAGACGACCTTAATTCAGTCGTCCAGACGACCTTAATTTCAGTCGTCCAGACGACCTTAATTTCAGTCGTCCAGACGACCTTATGGTTAATCCTCTCTCGGGTTAAATAAAAATTTGAAAAGACAAGTCATGCATTACATTACATTATCCGAAACACAAGTCATACATTACTAAATTTGACTACGTTTTTCAACACAAACTTGTAAAACATGTAATATGTTTTAACACCAATGATGATTTGTTGGAAGAAGGGTTTGATGTTGAAGTCTATTATTTCATTGATTTGTAAATGTGTAAACACATTGTTATCACATATATTACATCTTGGGAAACAATATTACTGATTTTACAAAAAAAATTCACAATTAAAAGAGTATACATGCAAATCACAAAACATACCACAAACTAAACTATAATAGATCATTCCTCTACAAAGATAAGTTTGGACTCCACTTGATATGAAACAAGACAGCTTCAGAAAACTTTCAGGAAGTCCAGACAACTTTCAGACGACTTACAGGAAGTCCAGACGACTTACAGGAAGTCCGGACAACTTCCAGGAAGTCCGGACAACTTCCAGGAAGTTCAGACAACTTCCAGACGACTAACAAGTAAGTCATCCAAGACGACTAACAAGTAAGTCGTCCAGACGACTAACAGGTAAGTCGTCCAGACGACTAACAGGTAAGTCGTCCAGACGACTAACAGGTAAGTCGTCCAGACGACTAACATGTAAGTCGTCCCATAAGTCTTCAAGATCTGAAAAACCTGCATATCAAGCACAGATCTGAAAAATCTGCATATCAAAAAACATTCAAATGGCTTAAAACACACATAAAATGAGTGGAAGATTAGATATATATATATATATATATACTTTTATAGAACACACAACATACATATCAAAATGAAGATCCATATGATTAAAAACCTGCAAGAAAAAGATAGATTAGTGAGAAAAACATGAGCCAAAACTGAAAAATTCATATAAATTTTGGTGTTTTCAAGTAAAAAAATTACCAAATGAAGAAAACATAAATAATAAGTGAAACATTAGATAAATATATCTTTAAATGAGTGGGATATGAGAACCATGTGATGAAAAACCTGCAAAAACAAGAAAAATTAGTGAGAAAGACATGAGACAAAAATAATAAATTGATATAGTTTGGTGTTTATAAGTTCAAAGAGATTATAGAGAGGTTTGAGAGTTCTAGAAAAATGAACATTACATTTTTGTTGCAGACATTTGAGAGGAAGAGTGAGAATGTGTAAATTTTTCTTTATATAGGGAGACAAAAAATCAATTAGGTTAAATATTTTCGATTTCAGACGACGGAAATTTCAGTCGTCCACGAGACTTTAATAATTTTAGCGGGAAACTAAAATATTTCTTAAATTTTAGGCGGAAATATTAAGACGACTGAAATTTCAGTCGTCTGGTAAATAATTTGAAACAGACGACTGAAATTTCAGTCGTCCAGACAACTAACATTTCAGTCGTCCAGACAACTAACATTTCAGTCGTCCAGACAACAAACATTTCAGTCGCCCATGAGACTTTAATAATTTTAGCGGGAAAGTAAAATATTTCTTAAATTT